AAATTTTTTACACGAGACTTGAAGCTATTACCAGTATGGCTTGCCCTCTTGCGCCCGTAATACTGGGACTCCACCTGCGTCCTTTTCAGGGAACATCCCATTTTCTGATCGGCGTTTGTAACCAGCTTGCCATCATAACAACCGCCCATCTTTCTCAAGTCCAAAAACGCTTTGATACTTGCCCGACACCGGAGTGTTACCCATCAGCTCTCTGAATATTCGCAGTGTCCGAAACTTAGACAGGTGTAATATAGGGCTAAAGTCAACTAAATGCACCAGGCGCTGCTTTATCACTGTTAAATTATAACTTATTAAGCTCAGCCCTCTTGCATTTTCTTCGTGTGATACGGAGTTTGAAATCACCGATTAATTTAAATGCTTAAAATCATTGAGCTGGTTAAACAGGCTGTCGCAAATACCATTCTTTGTTATAACATACAGCGGGGATCAGGAACCACCATGGGGGCCCTATTAGCGAGCAAATTACGACAAACGAAAGCATGATATTTTGAGCCATGGTTAAGAAGAGTGAACAGAACGTAATGAAAGACACGGTCAGTCCTATACACAGTATCTGTATACAGTAGGGAAATGATGGTGTATTAACATGCATCCGTATTTGACGGTGATCAACTTTTTGTGTGGAAATGAGACGGCATTCCAAGAATGCCGCCTGGGAATGCATAAGTTAAATTATGAAACTAAAATGGAAACTGTCTCTGAGTATAGAAAGAGTAGGGATAGATTTGATAAAAAACCATCCAGCAATTATTTTGAAATGGACAGTGACCTATAGTCGGAGAGATAAGATAATCAATCATGATAGTTGTAACGACCGTTTCGAATTCTTGAGCAACGAGCACCAAGGTTAGCAATAAAACCGGCAAACCTCCGAACGAATGGCTACGCAAATGTGCTGTACTATAAAAATGAAAGTAGTTACACGGGATACAAAATTACAAACCTCAACGGTTTTCGACAAACGGTGAGGTACTCCAAAAGGCAAGCAAAGCCGATATGGACCAACAGCCAACGCGTGACCGAAACCGCGTCTCAAACTCATGAAGTAGAACAATATATGGCTGCCCAAGGTTTTGGTACAAAAATAGTATAATCAAAGCGGTAGAAGCGATTTGCGCGGTAAGGAAAACGGAAAATATGGATGTCTTGCAAAACTGAAATAGAGTTCAATCCCACCAGTCCAAAAAAGGGGCGCTCCATTTGAATTGTCAACTGGGAAGGCAGTCATTCAAGATTGGAGGTAATTTTAAATATATATGAAGTTACAACAATAGTTCCTGGCATTCTTTTGCTTATTTGCCTAGGTGGTTTGAACCTCCACTTATTTCACTCATTTGTACCTGCCACTCACCTTGCTGCAACGCCCGAAACCTGTGTATTGGCTTGTTTGCCCGAGTAGATATGCGTCAATTACTTACTTGTCCGTGCGCGTTCGTGACCATTTTGTTGAACCTGCCTTGACTTACATTCTCATGAGTTCCATGTGAGTGCATCGTCAAAGAGAACACCAAGACTTTCATCGCTGTTCTCTGCGAGAACGTTAGCTCTACACTGTACCGGTCAGTCACAGACTTCCGACTTTATTGACGCTAGGAACGTGGACAATTGAGGCTTGTTGCTGTAAAAATTTGCTCATCCTTGTGTGAACGGTACCGTAAAGTTTAGAACCCATTTATTGCAGTTGGCAGTTGGGTTTGGTGCGTCCACGCATTATTGAGTTTTGCAATGGAATCCTCAGCATACGTCATAAAGTAAAAGTATAAGCCCGGGAGATTGAGGGGTGCCAGAGTGTTACAACAGGGGCCATCGGAAACCGGAAGTCTAGGCCAATTGAAAAACTAGTATAGAATGATCGAACCAGACTCCACAAGGCCAGATTGGCTTTGAGACCATATTGGATATTTGCATGCCAACACACCTGCCGGTAATAGCAACATGAGGTATATGGCGTGATGGTAACACAGGTGCAGAAGATAACAATCAAAAGTTGTTTTTAGACCACAGAATGGGGGCAGAGTGAACAACAGTGAATATCAACGTGGTTTTGGAATGTAAACGAGGTCAAGGATTAAGAAGCCTGACTATATGTAGGCAAATTTGAAGATACGATTTAAAAGTTCGCGCGCCATGTGAACATTTAAGGTGAGAAATTGTACTGGGGAGCAAATAAACTGCACAAAAATGGCGGAGTGGTGAAATACAGATCAATGTTGGACTGTGTTTGGATTGTTTGGACTGTTTGCAGGAAGATTAAACAGAACAACTTGGTGTTCTCTTTGGTTTGAGTGCTTGGAGGTAAGGGATCGCCAGAGATGTTTGGATTGCACGTGCAGTAGTCTGGCTACCCAAAAAGCTACTTTACCAGGAGTGTGTTGCAAAGAAATAAAAATAACACTAGGTTTAGTATACATTATTAAAGAGGACAGATGGAACGGACTCACTAAGAATAGTTCGTCGTTGGTCCAGGTCAGCGAATAAATGCTGATTCAATCATGGTTGTCCAGGGGTCTTCTGGGCAGTCCTCACATGGAGTTGATTTTGAAGATAGTACGATATGTTTTGATACCAGAGTTAGCACATGAAACTCACGAATGACCTCTGTAAACGCAAGCGAAATCAGAAGAGAAAGTCGAGGCATGTGACCACGTTCGTATTGCGCGTTCTTTAGTTTTCCTTCTTTAAACAAAAACGCTTAGGCGATTGACGAGGTGCGTAATGTTATATTGGAAGTAAAAAGAGGATAGGAACCATCACACACCGATTCATGAGAATCGGTTTTCAAGAAAAGCGAGTTGTTGCGTGCTAGCAAAGAAGGACGGTTTAGCCAATGGAGGTTTCTGGGTCGGAGGTATTATTGCCAAATGCATGATAAATGTGGACAATAAGCCAAAGGGACCCAAATGGTTGTTTTGGATATCGTGTCAACCCCCCCAAACGGTAAATAATGGGTTTCGAGGGGACTCTAGCTTTTTTTTACAAATGTGACCTGTATCAAATGATGACAAATTCTTAACACGCCCCATATCCAATCACATTTGCAAGGCTAAGGAAGATAGCGAATCGAAGCTGACCAAGGTAGAATTTAGCGCAGAGCATGTTTCCTCCGTCAAGGCTGGGGCAGACAATAAAAATTACGCCTGGCTCTTGTTGGAAAAGCCTAGGTCAATTAAGCTGTCACTATCTACGATATCACGGCAACTCCTAAAGTATTAACTGGCAAGCATCAAATAAACTCACTACGGACTACCGTCAAACTTTCCGCAAATAGAATCCATCAACACGGTTTAGGGGATCCAGCGTATAAAATGGCATCCAAAATGGGGCATTGATCTTCCACATCCAAGCTACTCACGTTGCGCGTCGGGAGTTGGCCAAGATACTTTCATTCAAAGATTCTATGAAACACCCATTTGCACATCAATTTTCCGTATCAAAGGAATTACGAGGAGGCATTTCAAATCGCATCGCCTTTTATTTAAACTGTTTCAGGATGTGGAAGCAACAGCTTTGGTCATTTCTATATATGTGGCACTGTAACTCGTGGCAAGCGAAAAAAATCACACACCACAAGGGCCCCCGGCATGGATGATATATGGACTACGGTCTACAGGGAGGGCCGAAATGTGATGGCCGTATGGCCCAATATGATGTACATGGTTTGGTTGATTCCACTTCCTTTATGTTCCATCTTTAGGTTCCATAAACTCTAACGGTTTTCCACCACAGCAGCCAATCAGGTAGTAGAATTCTCACAGTCCTAAAACAAACTTGTAGGTAAGTAAACGTGTAAGACGTAAGCGAAACAAAGGGGAATTCGTGTGTAATAATCACTACCAATTTTTCACTGGGCCTTCGTGCATTCCAGCAGGGGAAAATAGCATATCCAGCGGTCCCGACTGGAATTGGAGCTGTCCGGCTTAGATAATTAACCACCAGCTTTCAAGCATTTTTGGCAGTTACTTGGCCGCAACATCAGTGGTCTTCAGAAATGCCACAGAGCTTCCCGATTTGCAATTCTTTTGTGATTGCTTGTGATGAGAAGAGTGAAGATATTAGTGTCAAGCAGAGCTTTTTTGTCTTTGATATTAGAGTAAGTCGAAGCTAAGATGGCCGGTTGAATCATTTTGGGCAAATGCAGGCGCCTGGACCGCTTGATTAGCTAACTGGCTGGTCGCCACAGCCGTTTAGTCCATCGGCTGTGTTCTTCTCCGAACCATTTCCATTTGCTGGACTTTGCATATTTCGGATCGGCAAAAATGCAAGACTTCGCTTAAATAGGGATCAGACGCTTGCCCAGAGAGCTGGTTCTGCGAACATTTGTATCTGTGCTGGGATGTTAGATGTTCTAACAAAGCGAAGAAAGTCGCTGAGGTGGGGTTGTGGGACTGGATGGATGCACATCCATTGATGGGATAAGCGTGTTGCATCCGTTCGCTGGTGGACACAGAGTAAGTCCATTGGTACGGCATCAGGGCTAGTAGAAAGGATCAACGGAATCCAAATACGAGAGCCGAACTACATGGCAACCGCACCTATGACGAGGTTCATCAAGTATTTTCAGCTGGTCTCTGTATTTTTCCCTAGTTGTATAACGCCTGCGGACTCCGAACAAATAATTACTCTGAACAACCGTAGTTGAATACTGCTTTTCAGTGGTCGCATACTTAACGGAGCATGTTAGTGATCGAGGGATTGATCCGTGTGCGCGATGCGGCTGCCAAAAACTCTAGGGTCAAATTATGGCGAGCTGTTTTCGTGGAACCGGTGCTCATTAGAAGATATATGGGGAACTGGACCGGACCTCACAGCGCTTATCTTGGGCTACTCAGCGGTATGCTTGTTGGGTGCCAGGATCAGCTATTCATGAGGTTTATATTACCACAGCACACAGATGGGTTCTGCCATCTTCGATCCGCGGAAGGCATATATTCAACGCTGATTGCAAGACTTTTGTTAAATAAACGTAGTCGCCTTTCAAGGTCATGATGATCGGCGCGAAGCAACTAAACCAATCACAGATCCGAGTTCTCGCTTCTGGCCGGTACTCTGGTTTGCCTCGATTGCTGACGGCGGGCGTCTTCTTTCGAGCCACTTTCTCGACTGGCAGGGTATGGCCTTGCAGGCCCTTGCCGATCCCAGACATTTTTATGGGATACCGGAACAAGAAACAAAATTCTTCTGCAATAACGGTATAATCGATTCCGGATTTCCAAGGTCATCCCGTCGAGTACCGGAAGCCATGGAAGCGTTATTGTGTGACTCAGATGGGGTGGAACGTTTCAATCAATTCCTACGCTCGAATTATTCCTCAGGCCATCTTCTAGATTTCTGGTTCGCTTGCAAAGGCTTCCGCTCCAACGTGGATCCTAATGATTCGGACAAACTTTTTCAAGTTGCCAAGGTGATATACCGGACTTACATAAAGTCTGGTGCCACCTGCGCCGTACCATTGCCATCCCCACTTAAGCATGACATTATTGGGCGTATGTCTTCCTATCACCGAGGATATAAATCTTCCAAAGGTCCGATACCGGCTTCAACTGCGATCGATCGATCTCTGTTTGATCTTGCGCAGAAGAGTGTTATGTCACTTCTGGAGCAGACTTATTATCCGAAGTTCGTGGAATTTGTCAATGGGCCTCCGAGCCCTTCTCGCCCTTGCAATGACGCCGTTCCGAACTCCATTTCTGGGTCGATGCTTCTATCTAGCACCCATCCACCACTCGATTGTCAGACACTCTCGCACAGTTTTACTGAGAAGACACCCAGATCAAAAATGCGGTGGAAGCGGAAAGGTCATAAGCTTGTCCCAGAGCAGTTGGTTGGAAAGTGAGTTGACCTATCTATAAAAGTTCGTAGTTGAATATGCTATCATTTTTACTGGGTTATCCAAGCTCCTGTGTTTACTGCTAGGTCGTCCAAGTTCCGAGGACTTCATCACCTTGTGCACTGTGATTGACAGCTACATTCTTACAGTCCCCCGTGGTTCTTTGCTTGGTCAAGATGGCGCTTGTTTTTGTGTAAAACAGTTGGACGGGAGATCCGCTTTCCCAACCTTGCTCGGCGTCTTGGAACAGCTACCTTACACTGTAACGACCTGGCACTCGGACTCGTCGTCGAGGTATTTCTTCGCGACTCCGTCTTATAGGCTGGTCTAGGTACCACTTGAATACAGTGAACATATTCGCCTCAACCTTTGCCCCAAGGAGCTCTACGTATGCACATCGGGACTGGCGGTAGTTTTGGTTCAATGGAGTGAACAGCAGTGAATTTAAGTTCTCGTTCACGAAGGTTTGCTGGTTAGCTTTGTGGTATTATAGGTTCCTTATCAGGACAACTCCAAGGTTGTTAGTTCAAAGGCGAGCTTTTACGAACACTACGACATGCCCTTACGAATAGATTTAAAACTGTATCGTCTGTTTTGCTGACCTTTGGGTTCCCTTCTGTTACGTCTTCTTTACTGAGTGAGGAAAGGAACACTGTAGTATCTGAATATTTAAGAATAACGCGGATGGGTGCGTTGAAGCGTATGCAGTCTGTACTAAAATTGCTCTGTAGCCCGGAATGGTGAACTCTGGATCCCTGGGATTGAAGTTCAACCACAGTTTAATGAGTCCGGAACTAGGACCAGACCATAGATACTTCCTCCAATTTACGAAAGTGGATATGCACACTACCCACCTTTTCATTATGCTACGATATTGTGATATTTTGTGTCAGCAGGCCACTCGGAAATTTTGCTGACTGTCGTTTCTATCGGCTATCCTCGCTCCATTGCCTTAGTGTCGGTAAAAGTCCCGCTAGCAAGTAACACAACAGCTTTGTTTCGAATAAGAGAACCCAAATGCTACAACGAGCCTCACACTATTTAATGGTCACTTTTGACATTGATCCAGACTCTGGTTGGTGTTTGGTGTACATCCATCAGCATCGACCGTGCTTCTATGAAATATCTGAACACTTGTCGTAGTCGGTCATGCTTCTGTGAGACGCTTGAACACTCGTCGGCTGCTGCTGATTTGATTGACTGACTGACCTGAATGATTACCGACTTCCCTAGTGAGATTTCGGTAGAGTTTGAGAGCCTGCGGGTTTCGAGCGTTCTAGGGTTATCTTCAGGATTCTGATCCTGATACTGATGATAGTCTTCCGTCTTCCAGTTGGCTCTTCGATGGTAAAAACGATAGATTTGTTTGAATGGGGGCTTGCCCCGTTTACTTTGACGAAACTGACTTTCAAAGCTTGCGGCTTGTCAGCGGTTGTGCTGCAGAACCGATGCGAACGAGTGCTTTCAGGAAATCACCATCTTCATTAGGTCTAAGCATCTTAGTCTCTCGTCAGCATGGCGAATATTCCGAAACTCTCGCAAGTCAAGGAACGTTGGACAACCAACGATGTGTGGTTTTGGTGATGGTATGTGCTTGTTATCCGCCTAGTCGTTACGGTTTAATCCTCACTGTTGAAACGCTCAATCGCTGATATATCGAGTGCAGCTTGCATTTGTTTATTTAATGGAACACCTCGCTGTAGTTACGGTGGGTGCTGGTTCTTTTACTCCGATTAAGTGCGACGCTTCTTCCGGATGATATCTTCTAAAGCTGCACTCGGGAGAAAGATCAGTGACGCTGTGGAACGAGGAGCCTACAGGAAACTAACATAGACCGACCAGTTCACCAACCTAAATTTGTCGATCTGCCGGTTAACAACAGTCGCTCCACTGAACCTCTGCACACAGTGGTTAGGCCTCAAGCGTCTTGTGCAGAGCCGTATATAGTACCACGTGCAATCCGCTCATGCCAATATAAGGGAATAAGACCGACGATTAGACATAAAACAGGCATAAGCATGGCAGCTTAACAGTGAGCACCAGCATGAGAAATTTTGCACCAAGACACAGACGTCATCTGTCAGCTTCCACAACTTTTGTTGGGATCCGGCACTTCCTCTACGGCTGCCTTATGAAGGATGCCTATTACCGCGCCATTGCGGTGGGAGTGGATAGTCGGCAAGCCAGTAGTTAGATGGCCACTGATACCGCTATCTCATGGCATGATAACAGAAACCGGTCAGTCTGACCCTGCTTAGGTATTCGCAACTTCTGGTTCGTGCTGTATTCTTCAATTAATTGTAACTGCATTGTCTATGAATGCAGTTATCGGCCATACGTTTTACGTCACCTGTCCAGCGTAGGTACCCATCGGTACGCATGGGGTTCCGTTGATCTTACTTCTTTTGAGAACCTCAGCGTCCTGGATTCATTTCGGCCATTGACTTTACGGTATTTTGCATAGCCACTAATTTGTCAGGCATTTTGGTGTGCCGCTGGCAGCGTCTATGTTCCGCTACACTACGGTATCTCGGTACACTGCCACCTTGGTGTCGACCCGCATATGGTGTTTGCTATGGCCAGATCCAACGTTTGTAACACCGGTAAGTAATTCATTATTAATAGTCAATTCTGTGCACGCGGTACTACAGAGGTAGTAGGGGGCTTCAAACACGTTATGCCACGGCCATTCATTTGAAGGCAGGGTGTTTATTGTTCTGAACACCGGACAGGTTGATGAAAGACGATTGTTTCAGAAACACTTATTTGAATCAGAGTGTGATTCTGGCGAACAGAATGCCGTTGTTCTGTCACCGAACGTATCCTCGTAACACTCGAAGCCGGATTTTCATTATTCCTGCATTGGTGCAGTTCAGCTCATCCAATATTCTGTTCATACAACCAGCTTCCACAAACCTGACTCCATAATGTCACCGGCTATTTTGCGTATGTGTACCATGTAGTACCATTCAGTATGTATGGTATGGTACCATGTACCATGCAGTATGTGTACCATGTAGGCTTCCTTATTCAGCCAGCCGAGTTTCACGGCCGTCTTCCCAAACCATCCGTGGAAACTGTGGCAGCTGCAAACACTGCGAGAATCACGCGGTTCTTATATCTGGTGTTGACGATGACGATGATGATGGGGACTGGGGACTGGTCTAGTCTGAAGATGCAGGGAGAAAGGCACGATTGACTTTTAATGCTGCTACTCACATGTGATGCCTGTCTTACTCCTAACTTTGAAAGGTATTTTGACCACATTAGATAGTAGGTCGGTAATCACGACCAACAGAACAAGTGCGGTTTCCACCTCTTACCAACAAAGCAACATATGTACACACTTTTCGAGTTTGGTGACCATTTGAGAGTCTCCATGCTTGTACTCGGAGTCTAATCGTTGAGACGGAGGTCTGGGCTGCCCGGGCTTGTTAGGTGATCGAGGTGTCAAATAATCGGAACAGTCTTTAGGGCCGACCTCTTATAAGCCGTCTTTTTGGGATGGAACTACAGTCGCTCGTAGCTCGGCAATTCGCTGCTCGTTAGCCCTCATGGCGGGGTAAAACCTAGGCTGGTGAGTTTTCGATCGACCTAGCCCACTGGATCATCACAGCACTGAAGCCCGATCGCCACAACTAGGTGACAGCTTGTTCTCGGGTTTAGTTAATCCAGCCCAATGATACTATTGGTCTAGTATATGTATGTCACCTTTTCAAAGGTGATAGTGTATTAGGAACAGGGTTAACATTGCCGAAATAAACTTTATTATAAAGGTTTTCTGGGCTTGGGTCGTGATAGTGAAGTTTGCAGCTGATGAGGTCTACCATCATCATCATCATCGACAGCATGACATCAGTGTTCAACACCGATGCTTCACTGCCGTACAACCATGACTTATTTGAAAGCCTTATT